GATTTCTGGGGATTGGCGTGCTTGACGTGCTCCGGCTAGGAATATTAGTGTACCCCTTGCAGTTTCAGAAAAAGTGACGTATCAAATAGGCGGACGCTGAGATTAGCTGTCTCCACCCACTCAATAAGCGACCGTATATTTAAACAGGAACAGAAGGAAAATAAAGGCTTGATTACCTTGACAACTTTCATTTTCAGCAGTGGGATGTAGTAATTGGTGAGGAATCCGCCAACAGTGTACCATGGTTGATCACGAGTGTAAGCTTCGATGTAAGTAGGATTGGTGAGATCCGCCTTAGAAGACACCTATGGGAATAGAAAGCAGCCGCTATTTAAACCAATCATTTAATAACGTTTCGACATAACTCACATTGGTCGACGACAGTTCATTGGAACTTTTCTCGGAAACCTTCTCGAAGTTGGGGTCACTTGGTGGGCCACAGTAGACGAGATCACGCCGACCAGCTCGAACTCTTCGCAAATCGAGTCCGATGAAGGCAGGGAAGACGAACATCAACGACGCCAGGTTAAACGCTAGCAAGACGGCAGTCTGGAATGAGTGAATTCAACATGTCGAAAAAGTACATACACTCTAGTTCGCTGCGGACGGTTGGGCGTGTCAGCCAGTATGAGTGTGTCACCCCATCAAAGCCGTTCTCTGCCTTCTTGTTGAAACGCGCATGCGACAAAAAGTGGTAGAAAACGAGTAATACGAAGGATATGATACAGTATTGTCACTTGCCCGCTTCAACAACTGGTGGAATGGAGAACGAGTTTGGCACCGCACGCCGTAAACGCAGCCGCCACCCAAACGCAGCCACTGACAGCGCCCGAACCGTCCGCAGCTAAGCTACCTTAATAGTGTACAGTCCTCATCATTGCGGACCGGTGGGCGTGGCAGTGCGGCTGCGTTTGGTGCGGTTTGGCAAAATCGTTCTGCACCAGTTTTTGAAGCGGGCAAGTGCATTACTTGTATTGTATCCTTCGTATACTTCGTTTTCACCACTTTTTGTCGCATGGCGCGAATCGTTTGGCACAAAAAAAGGCTGAGAGCGGCTTTCAACAGTGTGCCACCATCCTTCTTGGCTGGCACGCCCCACCGGTCCGCAGTGATGAGGACTGTAGTTAGCACTAATATTTAGGCTGCGCTATATGGCGACTCCTAAACTTGGACTTGTGTTCAACATGCTCATGCTCGCTCATTCAAAGCAGAGCCCGCTTATACAAAGGAGCAAGATCGAGACCTATTGAAAAACGCGCCACTAGTGGCGAAGTTTCGTCTTGTGGTCGCATCAATTTTGCTTCTATCGGATTATTCGATGGCTCTCGCAGAAAGCTGTCATTTCTGCAGCTTTTGTGATCGCGGCGAGCTACGTCTACATTAATTTACATGACTCCGCCACCATCATCGCGAACACGTGAAAGAAATAGGCAGCGACTAAACAATTAGCATTTCTTCTCTAGCAGAAATGATGTCCTTACTTGACAAGAGATCTAACTGCCAGTGGAACAACCGTACCACCAGGGAACTTTCAAAATTGGGCTTTTGAAAATTGAGCGATGCGATGGCCAGTGCGCGGAGCAGTGGCATGTTTTGGGATGGGTCTATTATGCCCAAGAAAGGCATATGAACATCAAGAGAACCCGGAGGCGAATACTTCTGCGAAGACTGCTCCATTTGGCATCTGGATGCAAAAGTTCTCTAAAATCAGCGCTCGGAAAAAAGAGCCGCCGCCATTTCCAAGAGGTCATCAAATAGCACTTGGGGATCCTACGAGGCTCCCACCGTTCAGCAGGGTTTTTGCAAGTGAAGAATCAATTTTCAGCAATCGTACGACTCTTTGGTGACAAAATGGGCTCAAACTAACCTGCGAGCAAAACGATCTCAATGCTGGAATCGGTAGAACGTAACCAGCACAGAAAGCAAGAATATTGTTGATAGACGTCACCATGACAGACATGCCTGGAATTTGATGAGCATAGCACAGCATAGTGGTGCTGAGAAATCGGCCCATTCTAGGGTCACTAGGTAGGTTACAGGCAACGAAAAGAGTTCCCGCAACCCTAGAAGGGGTATTTCGTCCTGGCGAATTTTCACAGGGATTCTTTGCGGAAAAACGGCCCCGCTGCGGAGACTACATGAAGCAGGTGAAAAAAGTTAGTGACAACCAAGAATACGTGAGCAACACGTCCTTTCTGGGGTGGGACCATTTCAAAGGCGAGGTCACTTGAACACCCTTGCTGTTCGAGCCCACCACTTCACAGCTTGGATCACGGAAGAAATCAGGCTGAACTCGCACCCACCTGTTTCTTTCAGCAGAATTCCCATTTCATTCTTCCGCATTGTATGACTGATCTCATCATAGTTGTGCAACAATAAGAACATGTCATCAATTCCAAGACCTAACGACAGGAATGGTACAATCTGAAATCAGAAAAGGATTTTGCTACCATACCTACTGTAGGTAAACAGTAATGGACGCTGCTCTTACCTGAGTGGTGGCAGCGTTGAAATTGATTCCGAGGGCGGTTGACAAGCCAAGACCACAAATCGAGGCATAAGTGACTAGAATCACCCCGACAAACGACAGTGCCACATTTGATCTGATCGCCAGCCATCGGCCTTCGATTCGAGCTTGAGTGAAAGCGGCGTAGATAATCTGAACGCTTGTGATAAATAATTTTATTGAAATCTCTCAGAACAAATTCTTATCGAACACAGACAATTCTAATGGAATTCTGAGGAGGAACATAACTAAAACCCCAGCGTACTGTGTTCAGCGCGTTCGCCTTGAGCGTGCATCTAGAGGACTTACCTGGCACACACTGTTGTGCCGCTTAAAAGAGACGAGAGTTCCCGCCCAAGCCAAGAAAGGGGAAGAGTTCCGAGGTGGCTGAATTCTTTTGAGCAGAAAAAGGAGCTGTGATCATCTCAGTTCCCCCAATCACGGGAGCGATCCAACTCTTCGTCTGCCGTCAGAGGAAAAAATGAGTCATTTAGTTAAGGAGACACAGGGGTTCTCTTAGCTCCGCCATATCTCCCACGCAATGTTCAGCGGGACGAGCCTCCAATGGTTTATCGCGGACTCCGAAATAAACAGTTGGGACGAGCCGTTGTAAAGGTGACCTAGTCCCCAAATCTTAGCGGCCAAGCGAGTTGAGCTTGGGAGGGGGGGGGCATTACATGCTACATGGCTGAGAGTAGTTCAGGCCGTACTTGTTAAGACCATGAATATCCGCTAACCAGAGTGAATCTACCATAAACATTTCGTACACTCACAAGAGACTTTACAGGTTCTCACCACAAGGACTAATTAGTGACATAAAATTACCAAAAAAAACAGTAGCGAATGTGCGAAATGTCCCTCCCAAGATAAGCGGGCGTCCCATAGTCACCTAGTCTGCAGTGGGAACTGGTTTTACCATCAATGTTTGAATTATAAGATTATGAAAATATTCTTAAGGCTCGTGAAAAATAACCGACCATGAGAACGTATCCCAGAATGATGATAGTGTAGTTGAACTGCGAGAATTCTTCAAGCATATCGGCAATGGATGTAGAAGCTAGTGGATGGAATACACGATCCTCATACTGAAAGAACACTTTACTGCTCTGTTTTGCTTACTTTACTGCTCTTTACTGCGTTGTTTTTTGTTAATTACTGCTCTGTTTTTCTGAGCCTTTTTGTGTCCACAAAATATTTTGAAACGAACGTTTTTATTAGCTTCGTGTCCATAGAGCTTCTTCGTGAAGTTCCTCTGCCAGGCAACTACGACGTCCGCTGCCCAACCAGGGTTCCAACTGGCTATATCCAAATTTGGATGCGTGTCTTTCTTTTCCTGAAAGCGTTATTCGTAGTATGCTTAGATGTCCTCCACAGGTAGGAGCAAGCATGAGCTTCGGGGGTTCAAGGAGGCACATAAGGGAGTGAGAAGCTCGGCCATGTGTGTAATATAGTTTGAAAGCGTACCTTGAATCTAATGAAAACATCAAATGGACTGGCGACGAGAAACACACTTTGGAGAGCCTCTGCTGAACTCAGCTTGCCCCTATTGCGTTTGACTCCTGAAGAAATTTCAAGGAGTTGTTCTAGAACTAATGACGGTATATTACTCACAAGTATGGAGCTGAAAAAAAGAAGCCCATAAAATATTTTATGAAGAATTCTGGTTCAGTCTTCTATTTCTTCTATTTTTGATTAGACTTTTTCATGACACGTTGCGCCTAAGTAATAGAACATTAAGTTTCTCTCCCACGCTTTGTGTGGGCTACACGCATTCACACACGTTCTTTCTAAAAAAGACTGGCCGAGCCTCCTTTGGAACCAACTGCACCTTTTTTGGGCAAGTAGGACACTTTGATGAAAGAGAAGTCAGAATT